TCCCGGCCTGGCATCAACATGTCCGCCATGTATCCGCATTAATGACACTTCCCCAATAAAAAACAGCCAGTTTTCTTGCCTCTGCTGCTGCCAGCCGGGACTGGCGATCCTGTTGCTGGGGCCGGAGATGTGGGCGTCTGTGATACGCGCCCATCGGCTTTCGAGTGTACATGTCGGCCGGAGTCTGGGAGGTCGCATTTGGACAATGGTCCAGAGACATGCATTTTCCACGATTTACTCCATTCGAATCTTGTTGTACGTGCCTGTCTGCCGCCGGCTCGTTTGGGATCATGCCAACGGCAAAAGGCACAACCATCTGTCCCCCGACCTCCGGTCGGATCTGCAATCAGGCCGACAGACAGACAAGAGCAGACGCACAAACGGCTTTGGATGTGCCCGAGAGTCTCGGAGGTAGGCACAGGTCAGGCCGGACGGACAAAAGTTATGATCAAGCTGCAGGATTTCGTCGCGTGCTTGAGGTCTTTATCGGCCATAAACTGGGCTTGTGAGTTGGGAAATGGGAAAAGTTGGACGGGTGATTTGCTTCTGCCCGCTAACAGGGCGGCCCCTCTTCCTGTCTGTATCTGTGTACATGTGGTCGGCCCTGTCTGTGCCTGTGTCCGAGGTAGGGAGGACGCGAACTCGACCCAGGGGGAGACGACCGGAGGTGTGTGTGTGTGTGTGTGTGAATGTCCATTAGTGATTAGCGCTGAGATTGGTCGGCGCTTGACTGCAATTCCACTCCTCCCAAAGGGATATTTTCGAGTAATGTCCTAAAAGTTGAGCCTCCACGGGAAAGATACAGACCTCAGCTATTGCAATCGTTACCACCATGATTATAAAATGTGACGTTCTGAGACTCGGCTTTGATGTTCAAATCTCACAAGCCGTTTTTTAGGGGGTCCAAACGAGACGAAAATGCACATAATTTCCCTTTTGTAGGCTAAGGGCGAGACGTCATGCTTTACCGATAAACCTACCTGGAGGATAGGAATCAGGGTAAAGCAGTTTTAATTTTCACCATAGGCTTCGCACGAAATGAACAGATAATTCTATCATTTGAGACTTTAAAGTAAGTAAAACCAGTGTCTATGAATAGGAGTTTCGGCACAGTTTTGGAACATTGATAATGACATACCATTCATTTCGTTTAAAAAGGCGGGTGGAAGGGATTCGTGAAGTTACCCCAGTGGATACTGAATTATGGTTACCTCAGACTTATGTCCATTTGATTGTACGAAAAAGACCGTGGCTCACCGTCCTGCGACCTAGATTCCGCCGTGTCATCCGACGGACAGCATCAGAGACGGAAACAATTATTTACCAACAATCACATAACACCAAAAACCACTAAACCAAGAAACGTGGCCGGCTAAGCTTCGACTTCTTATACTTCACCTTGCAATCCTACTGAGGCATTCCATGAGTTGGTTGGATGCTTTATGCTTTTTCCTAAATGAATAGGTTTTCTAGACTACCAAAATTGTGTTAACCCTATTTCGTTTAAGGTGATGAAGGGCTGGTAGTTGATGTTTCCCACATTTATATGTGTAAAGCTGACGTTTTCATTGAATTTCGCATAGCCTTGCTTTTCCAAAAGGTGTTCTCATCCAAGCTAGACTGGATTGCAGTTTAGATCTCGCATAGCGGGAGTCGAACCATGGCAGTGCAACACGTAGACTCGACACGTTAACCATTACGCCACATGTCGTCGATTGCTATAGCAAATATAAGTTTGCTTCATCGACAATCCCAACACAGAATGTGATATGGAAAATGCCTGGCCTTCCTTGAAATTGACATCTGTCCTGTGACCCAAAGACACTCGGGGCAATGTGACCGAGTTGTTAACGTGTAAAGCTGGCCTGCTGCAC